GGACAGGCACACCCATAAGACACCACATCTTGTCTCACCCAGGGTATACTCTTTACCCACATAGGAAAGAAGGAAGAGGCAGAGAAGCAAAATTAATATCATATGGACAAGCAGAATGTGAATATGGCCATCTGAGTGCGTGCACACGTTGTCGGACAGCCAATATGTGTAATGTTATTGGGGCTCATTCAGACCATAACTTGTGTTCTCACCTCAACTCTATGGGACTAAACACTAGCTGTGGGAGGAGAGCACTGCAGTTATGCAGTATGGATCCGAATAGTACGTGTTCACCTCAAAACTACTGAATAGACATTGGCTACAGGAGGTGGACATGTTAGATATATACATATATTGGTATGATATAGTGAGTGCACACCCCAACTCAACTGAACAGATTCTGTGGAATAAACCCTATCTTAAATAGCTTTGAGTGAAATTCAACAAACCAAACCAAATATAGTGTGAAACTACAGACAAAGAAACAAAATTGGAAGTAAATTCATGAAAAAAAAACAGTACATAGGTAAAACACAGAACTAAGTCAGAAGGAAATCTAATCAGTAATTTAAGCTGTAACACTCAAAATTTACATTTGTTTTAAGCATGAAGCTGTAAATTAAGTTAACTGAGCTTCAACTATAGACAGATATAGTGGCTATGTGATTCCCTTATGTGACTATCCATCCATCTTCTTCTTCTGTTCATCCCCCAGTGGCTTGGCTGTAAATTTAAGATCTTATACCATTGAACATTTAGTTTCATTACCCCTGGTGGGCACAACACATATAGCCCATTAGTGTGGTTTTGTGCTTAACAATAAACAAATAAAACTACCTTGATTCACCTCTCTCTCTGCATACAAGTCAAAGCCATGGTCTGATGGTTTGTACCTGACAATTTTTGTCCAGAGTCATGCAGTTTAGAGCAGAAGTCAAAAACATGGCTGCTATCTTTCACTGAAATATGTTGTCCAGGTATCAGTGCTCTACCATGGATAATGTGGTGTGGTCATATGATTGCCAAAATGGTCTTTGAGAATCTGCAAGAGGAAGGGGACTTGCTGTTACTTCTTTGCATTTTTAATTGAACTTTTGGATCTATTCTTTGGGTTTGGGATCATATATTCCCACTAGGAGTAGTTTATGATATCACTGATATGCAGTTTAGTAGCATCATAACCTTTGACTGAGCACTTAGTTATTATCATCTTAGTGCCAGATGTAGTGTCTGAATAGAAATGGGAAATCAAAACTTTGACCATCATGAGTAAGATGGACTGTCAGGAGGCTGGAGTTACTGTCTTGTTGCAATGTAGCAGCAGTGGCTGGTTCTGTGTCACAATATTTGGTCCAAGTGCTGAGACCATCCCACATAATTGATCAGAGTTCAAGTCACTTGACATGCTGTTCAAGAATAAAATTACATCACTGTAACGATTGGTAGAGACTTACCATAACAGTTGGCTTTAACCTATTTGACAGATCACATTCTCTTGTTGTCAGTTTATTTATGGTTACATTAATTTGTATTTAATCATACATTAGTTTGATTGCTATATAAGCACAGTTTTATCAAGCGTGGGTACAATCTATAAAGAGTTTCAAGGTGTACCAAGTTGTTCCACAGTGTCTTTTTTTTACAAAGTAATGTATTTTAAAAAAATTTTTTTTCTTGAAATATTAGCTTTGAGTTTGATTTTGTATAAATGACTCAAAATAATCTATTCACCCTATTTATTGGTATTTCAATAGGCATTTGAAGTTACAACTTCAAAAAGACAAAGACTCTAGCCTTCCATGTACTTTAATGATATCTCTTTCCCCTTCAGTTTCTCTCAAACTTCTTGCTAAAGCTGCCTCCCTCATTCCTTCAAGTCTTTCATTTCTTAAATCATTCTTGTGCACGTATTTTAGCTAACTAACTCTTTCAGCATCAAGCCTTACTTCTCTTTCTGTTATCCTTGCTGCTCTTTCCTCCTGTGATTCAAATCTCCTCCTTTCTGCTTTTCTTGCAGCCTCTTAACTATTTTTTTGAAAAAGACTTTGATGAGGCTTTTCTTAGCATTTTAAAGGTTAAGCATACATATTATTTTTCTCCTAAAGGGTTAATAATCAAATGAGAGCTTAAAGTCATTTACTTTAGCATGCATGTAAGGTAATTTATTACTAATGGATAACAAGTTGTGGTTACAACAAAAAATATAGTTTGTAATTGTTCTTGAAGTTAAAGAAAAACGACTCAAGAGCTATTTGTGCTAGTCTCCCTTAGTTTTGAAGCAACTAGAGAGAAGGCAACATCACCAAGTACCAATCCTTAGGCTACTCTTTACCAACAAATAGTGAGATTGACCATCATATTATAACATTCCCATGTCTAAACAGGGCAAGTTCTAACTCCACATAAGTATGTTTCAGCAGCATCCAGAACTAGGATTTGTAATACTCTCTCCAAACAACAAGTATGCTTCAGCAGCATCCAGAACAGAGATATTGAAACACTAACTTCACACAACAAAATATTCTTCAGCAGCATCCAGAACCAGAATATTTATAACACTATCTCCACACAGTAAGTATGCTTCAGGAGAAGTTAGTGTTACTTGGTTCTGAATGCACAAAACAAATATGCTTCAGTGGAATCCAGAACCAGGGTATTCATAATAATATCTTCTACACAACAAGTATGGCATGCTTTGGCAGCATCTAGAACCAGTGTGGCATGAAGATGTCACAGAGCTCACTCCTAGAATACATTTCACATTTTCAAAATTTACGTATTTTTCTAATGCCTAATACGGAACATAATTAATCTAGTTAAGATCTATACTAATTGAACTCTATATGTCACTCTCCCAGAGTACATTTCAAATTTTAAATATTCTTCTAATATGTAATATGAAACATACTAACTAAATCTGGTTAAAATCTGTGATAACTCAACCCTAGATGCTACTTTCTGTAGCAGGTTTCTATCAAGAAGGCTATCTATTGTTTTATGGGATGATTGTATAACTTGTATTCTGTAGCATCTGTGTATGTGGAATCACTTTATGACTGTCACATACAGCACAGACCCAATTTTGTGATTCTTAAGTTACAAAGCAAATGTGGATTGTGATAGTATTTCAGGCCAGTTGATTTCTGCTGCTGAAGAACCAAAAATGTGTACTGAAATATTGTCCTTATCCTTTTAATGTTTATTTATTCTTTTAATACAACTGCTAACAATAATCTTGAATTATTTCAATATGAAAGTTTCTCATTTTCACAATATATAGAGTTCATTATATTTCCTTTTCATTTAAATACAGAATAAAATTTTTCTAACTCTTAACTAGTTTTTCTTTCAATCCACTAACACTCTTCTTCAATAAACATATCAACCATTCTTCTGTTTCTTGCTTTTACAAAAATGTTTTAGTTCATCTCATGCCATGTGGTCTCTTTCACTCAACTAGCAACAAAGCAATAATATTTAACAAAATTCTCCATTTGAATATTAATATTTAACAAATATGGTGATCTCTTTCACTCAACTAGTAACAAAGCAATACACCTGTGAGCCTTTCATCATTGTGCTGATCAGATATCAGAAGCTTGCCCACATAACCACTTTTGTTTCAAAATCGTGAAATGAGTTAGTGAATGAATTTACAAGATATTATCAAAGGGAAAATAAACTAATTTGATACCTTTATAAAAATGTAAAGTGATGCCTGAAAAGAAACTGTAGTGCTAACAACCATTCAGTTGACATTCTTAGTAAATGAACAGCAGTTATACTTTTTTTACTTTCTGATGAGAAATGGGAAATTTTCTACTTTTTTAGTATCTCTTACTTTAACATTTTAAACCTTAACATAGCCTGATTTTTTTTTCTTATTAAAAAAAACTTTATGACAGTGGATCAACTAATTAATTGTATAGAAATAACAAATCAAATTACATTTATGCACAACTATAAAATAACTGCTTTCCAAAATATTGTTTTCTGTATCATATCTAAAACATGCTGATACCCCCCCCCCCCCTCAACTGGCTCAGCAGTAAGTCTGAAGGTTTATAATGCTAAAAACTGGACTTGGATACTCATGGTGGGCACTGCATAGATAGCCCATTCTGTAGTCTTGTGCTTAATACCAAACAAAACAAAAATACATTTCCATGTGTCATTGCTATATTGTATTGAAACTTTATTCTAACAAATAAATATATCCTGTTAATTCACAAACAGTGGTCATATACAAAAGATGGGATTAAATGTGTGGATTTAAAAAACAAAATTTTTTTTTTACATAGAATTTTTTTATTTCAATAGCATAATTAACTAAACTTCATAATGAAGTCAATAAAAACAAAAGTATCCACCCCTTTGGTGGAATATGTATAACTTTTGGTGAAATGCAGTAGAATAAGCATATCACTTACACTTAAATACAGAAGTTTTTTCACAGCAAAAATTCACTTTTCTTTAAAAAAACATTTATGAAACATTCATACTAATAAAAACGTTTTAAAGATAAAATTACCAAATTTTTTTATAGGTACCAGAGATTTGATTAATATGTGTTATGCAGTGTAATTGGATTTTTATGGAACATGCATGTGTCCAATATAACAATTTAACTCATGAAAATGATTAATGAAAAAAATGTTTGGTATAAATTTGAACTAGATTTCTGTTTAACCCCGAAATTACTGATGGCAGTCAATGTTGGTACCATTGGTTTTTTTAATCTATTCATGCACGAAGTTGTTTGTAAGTTCATGACTTTGATTTTTTATAGGGTCCCAAATAATATAAGTCACATAAAATAAACAAAAATACCATCAATATTTTAATCAGTCATACTAATTACTTTGGTTGATATGTACTTTACATGGAAAATTAGTTATTTAACCCAATTTTTTGTGGTGAATTCTTTTCACTGAGTGCATTAACAGAAAAACAACAACAAAATTACTCAATATGATGTAATATATGGACTTCACTTTTTTATTTTTTTGTAACTTAACAAAATTATTCAGCTAAACCCTAACCAACTATAGCAGCTGCACAGGACGATTTTCAATACTGTTCAAAAAAAGAACAGAAAATATATCATCAAAGAACTCTGGGTAATACTGGCAGGCTCTCTGACAATCTGGAGCCCAGTTAACTTCCAAGAGCATAGGTTGTATATGTGGCTTATCTGGAAAAAAGAGAACATCTTTCATTTACATCATTGTAATAAATATAAAAAACTCTAAACTAAGTATAGTTACAGAAACCTACCAGTATCAAACTAATGATAATCACAGTGTCATACCCATTTAAATCATAGTGTAATAAAGTTAACATGCGAGACATTAAATTTTATAATTATAATTATTTGAATTTGTCAATAAAAAATATTAATACAATTTTTGTGTATCAGATAACATGGTTTTGATGAAAAAAGAAAAGTATTTATTGTTGTTAACTTTATTACAAAATGTATTAAGAAACATGAATTTAGACAGTTTGACTCAACCCTAAGGATAATCATTTCTAAAAGTGTCATTTATTATATATATTAAAGTACTTTTACAGAACAGATGTCTACCAACTTGAAAGTCACTGAGACAACCTATATTTAAAAACTATTAAATATGTAAACTTGACTTAAAAAACAAAAATCTTAAAAACTACTAAATATAGAACCTAGTACATAAACCAGTATATTAATACATGTTAAAAAAAGCACTGAATGTGAAACCTGCATGCATCAAATATCAGAATCCAATTCAAGCAATTATTAGATGTTAAATTTCCTTAACTCTCTCATTAGAGGCTTGGTCAACTTAACATAAAATTTACCCCAAACTGACCTTTATAGTTTCCATAGTATAACTTCTAATATGTTTTGAGTATCTTCACAAAATTTTTTAACCTTTCAGTAATCATTAAGTCATTTGTAGACAAAAAGTCAGAATTTTTAATGAAGTATTTTCACTAAAAATTTCTCCATGAATGTATGGAGTCAGCGTTGACTGCTCCGTATGCAGTGATTTTCATGTAATGATTAAAAATACTTTTCTTCATCCAAAAAATCTCAAATTTCATTTGCATATTCTCTAAAATACTTCTAAATAAATTTCAAAATTTTTTTATTAAAACTTTATATTTTATCAGTTATTTTCTCTATCCTAACTCTATACGAGGTTGGTCAATTTGACTGACCTCATAACCACCAAAAATAAATCAAAATAAGTCTAAATTACCCTTTTTTCTTTCAAGAATGACTTCAAATTTTAACATGAAACTACCTTTGTTTATCCTAAATAGCTTAAATCTTGTAACAGTACGTATCTGTTTATACCTAAATTTTATTGTCTTAAACCATGTCTAAACTAATATTCCCACCATAAAATTTATAAATTACTTTGCAAATGTCAAGCTAATGTTGCGCTATCGAACTACAAAATACAAAGGTTACTTAAAAGTTGCTCACGAACATACCTTGTAAAAATTATTATTACTATTATTATTCTTTATTTTACTAATCTAACTTTATTTAACCTAAAAAGTTTCTAATTTTTACGTTTTAGTTACTTTAATAATAGATAAATAATACACATGAAAAACAAGAAAAAAAAGTACTTACTTCTGTCTTCTTTTTTTTGCTGTCGACTGTCGATAAAACTTGACCCTATTATTGTATACGAATGGTACTACTGCACTCAATAATTTTCTATTTAATTAAATAATGCACCAAAGAACAAAGAATAATAACATGCAACCACAATTTTTCTGGCTTTCTAACTATGCAACAAGAGCCATTAATAGTTCAGCTTAGCTCATCAATGTGTTTCCCATGGGAATAATGTTTGAACTGGAAGCACAATTCCCTGTACAGAAAACAACATGATATAATACATCGTTTGATATATTAAAACAATGGCTTTCTATTAATTATAATATAGAATTGTCTACTGGTTACAAATTATATAGTATAAAACATCAGAGAAAACTATTGGCAATTTCTGAAAGAGGATGTGACAGGTGGGTGTGGCAAAAGGGGTCTGATTTTCTATTTTTTGGCTCTGTCACCAAATGCAATTGAAGGCTATAAAAATTATGCTTAGCCTGAGCCATGAAAACATTATAATGAGTAATTTATGTTAAATTTCATACTTCTCAGAGGAGTGGTAAATAAATTAGAGAAGAGTGGATACCTAGAGAGAAAATGTCACAATTCTCATACTAGGGGAAATTCAGGATTTTTTTTAATATTGCTTTATAAAATTAAGAACTTAAAACTTATATAACATTAAAATTTGGATTATTAGCTACATTTTTATGTCATGATAAGAAAGTAGTTTAATTAAATTTTAAATGTGACATGTGCAGAAAAAGATGCCTGTAGCGAAAGTGTTAATTTTTTAACTCTGGTATTTATGCAAGCACACACGTTTTAAGGCTAGACAAAAAGAAATGAGTGTACTACAGGGTCTATAAAGAATGTCTTGTGTACAGTACAACTTGAATTTTATCTACAGGAATGAGCCATATTAACTGTTTGTAAGACATATGATTTTGATGATATGCAATTTATGTAATATAGTTGCTAGTTTCCTCAAAAAAATCTTTGCATTAACAATAATCAGTGAAAACAATATAAAAAATATGTTTATCACCTGGGTTACTATGGTCCCATTCCAGCATCATGTCCACAGCATACATAGCTCGAGATTGAGGATTTGAACAAAGACCTACTGGTGGTGGCTTGCTTGTAGCTGCTTCCATCACTGACTTTAAAATTCCAAACACATCTTTCTAAAAGAGTAGATGAAAAAAAACCTCTTATAGTTCAATCATGAACAAAATATTTTGTATTTTACATATAATTAAGTTAGGTACTGATAAATTCACCTAGAAAGAAAATTTCATGCAATAACTATTGTTATTTCTTTATGCAATTAGATGTTTTCCAAAACTTCAATTAGCTATTTAAGATCAATATGTTTCAGGTGATGCATTTCTATTTAGTAAATTAAACACAAATTTGTAAATTCTATGTTAATAAAAATAGCAAAAACTGAAATAAAACCATGAGAAAGAGTGGGTGATGCTGATATTTACAAGATAAATTAAAACCCTTATACAAATGTTTCACATACTGAATGTAAATTTTTCATTTGCAGTGAATGCCATGTACAAAGGATTTTTATTTTTAATAGAACTCATAAATTATTAAAAGCTGACAATATTAAATTCATAAGTGATACATTAAAATATCCCAATGGTTTTAAGTTGAAAATTATTTTATCATTTTTATACAGTTACATATCATGGTTATATTATCTTAAAACACTTTGTTTCCTTTCCAGAGATTTAACGTAAAAAGCTTACCTCAATATCCTTCCACTTGAACGAAGGATAATATGCCTCAAACTGCTCAATAAAGTCATGGCAATACATCTTTTGAAAAATTATGACAACATGTGAATAATGTTTTTCTAAAACTGCATACAGTACATAACTTGCACAAAAATATATCAAACTCAAAGTGTAAAAGAAAGCAAAAAATGAACATTATTGAGTAAAATAATCTGTCAGGTTTCTTAATCCTCAACACAATTAGTTTGAAAGAATAAATATTTTGTATGAAATCATACTGCAGACTGTTGTATCTTTTTTAGTATTACAAATCAAGTAAACTAAAAAATCTTAGCTGTCATTGTTACAACTCTATAAGCTTGCACTAAATATAATTTTTTAGTTTAGACTATACAGTATCAGGTTTACCCAAGAGCCAAAAAGAATGATCTCAAAGCAATTTATTAGCTACAAGCTTTCCATAATGTCAATTTACCATACCTGCTAAATACATTTAGGATTAAGAACAAAAAACAATACTTTATGAAAACAGTTTAACTACTAAAACACAATTTTCGTTTATTAAATTAATAACTTTGACAGAAAGATATGTTTTCTATCTTACTTTGAATTTCAAACATAGGACTGACTACATTTGAAAAATAAATATAAAAAACAGTGAAACTGAAAAAATTGATACTTGAAAATGTCAGTACTTGGTGAAAATCCATAATTACAGATTTGAGGAAAACAAAGACAATTGTACATTTCACAGAGACTTCATTTATTAATGACCATGGCTTCACAAGTAAAGGCATCATCAAGTCCAGTCTGTACCTGATGATGCCTTTACTGATAAAACCATGGTCATTAATAAATGAAGTCTTTGTGAAATGTACGATTGTCTTTGTTTTCCTCAATTCTGTGAAAGAGATAGAGTATGCAAAGAAATGGCTGAATGACTATCACATTTTAAATTAAACTTGTGAGGTGAGGTGAGATTTCATATAAATAATTACAGGTTGAAAACAATTAAAACTGATTTAAAAACCTAAGAAAATTGATATTTTCCTTACCTGAAAATTTATTTCAGATAGGCACTCACCTCTCTGCACCACAAAAAGCTATTGCCTTATGTACTATGCCATGTAAATTCCAGCAAATGCAACAAGCTTTAAACTAAACTCCCACCCCTATACATGTCATCAGCCTATGATGTAATCATCATTAGAATACAGCCCTCCACCAATAGGAAGGTAACACATCCTCCATTCACAGTAATCCTCATGAACACTAGCATCTGATCATAGTCTCATTCTTGATAAGGCAAACTAAATGCATCAGAATTGGGGAGGAATGGTGGGAGGTGGTGCAGAGATATCTATTTGAAATGAATTTAAAAAAAACAACCAAAACTTGAACTATTTCGAATAGTTGGCTATTCTTCTTCAGGAAAATAGACAACTATTTGAAATAGTTCGCGTTTTGGGTTGTTGTTTTTTTAATTCATTGCACCTTTTGTGTATGATCTGGTGTGCTAATTCTTGTATCAGAATATCTATTTGATATACATTTTCAGGTAAGGAAAATGTCCACTTCATAACACTATTCACCTCTCTACTCCACAGAGCTAGAATCCCACACTGAAGATGGCAGAGGGGACAATGTAGAGAAAAAACTTATAAAGATGAGCTCCTTATTGAAAACAACATTAAAAAGGGAAAGCAAATGTGGTGTAACATCCCAAAAATGGGGGTTATCTTGATGAGGCAATATTCAGTGGATAACTGCATCCATATCAAGCAGGAAACACTCTTTGTCAATGTTATTGTGCTAATCCTTGTTAGGAGAGGAGGTAGAATGTTTGGCATAGTGCTAAAGTGTTGTTAAGATGAACAAAATTTAAGATTGTTCAAACCAACCATTATCTCACAGGTGGGCAGCCGAGTAATGTGTCTTGAGCTACAAGTCAAGCCATTTTATTACAAAAATTACTTACATGAGATACCACAATAATCAGGTCCAGTAAGAAGCATCCCAGATCTGTGTTCCAAGAAGAACCCATGAACCATCCAGATGGATCAAACCACTGAGAATGGTTTGGTTCATAATGTAGTGGGTTGTCCTGTACTACAAAACCAGCTAACACCACAGCCCTACCTCACAAATTGAGGGTGCATGCTCTCAAGCTTAAACCAATAAGGAACTCTCCATATCAATTTCCCTAGCAGCTTGAGACTGGGGAAGCAAAGTTTTCCTGTGTTCCACTAGAATATATGTAGAGTGAGGAATCTGAGCAGAGGAAGAATGCCAGATCATACCAATATAAACTGTGCCTTGAAATTTATCATAGAAAATGACTTATGTGAAATCTACCCAAATGTATATGAAGCACTATGCATAATGCTGTCTATTTCAGTTATAGTTCCTTTGGCAGAAAAAAGTTTTTCTCATCATAAACTTATCTCTGTTCTACTGTGTTTCAAGAAGTATTAGAATCACTGGCAGTGTTATATAAAAAATTATGTATCAGTCTCTCTAAATTTTTCTGATCTGACCGAGAACTTTAGTGTGCAGAAGAGTAGAAAAGCATGGTTATAAAATAAAGAATGTGAGTAATGGAAATATATTTTATGTGAAATAGATTAAAAAGTTTGTATATATTTCAATTATTGATTTATTCATTCATTATTTATTTCAAGTGTCAATATACGAGTTGAATAAATTATTTTGAAAATAAATAAGTTGTATAAAGAATAGTTGAAAATAATTTTTTAGGAACTAGACTGGTTATCAGTTTTCTCTCAAATACTAGTCAGGTATAGCTACATTCAGTATCACAAAATATAGAGCCTACCAGCTTTTATGGCCAGAGTCACCTATATAAGAGGCCAAAGAGGTCCCACATGCCACATTTGCCTAGGGTCCTACAAACTCTAGATCAGTGGTCGGCAACCTTTTTTGATCGCGGGTTAATTATATTTTTTTGAAAAATTTAGCATTGTGTTGGGTCAGTGATAATCATATAATAATTAATATCGGTACATGTATTTTAAATATGTATGTTTATTTACATACAAAAAAATTAATAGTTCGACCAGTTTGATATTTTTCCCTGAAATTGATCTTAAAATTCGCCGTAGCCGTGACTCTTTCCCATTTTCCTTTAATATCATTGTTCTTCTCACATAGCCGAGAAACTTGAACTGAACAATGACTGTGCCCTCACGGGTTGCAATGGTGAAGCCAGCTTTTGGCGGGTCAGACAAATTATTGCTGCGGGTCACTAAGTGACCCGCGGGTCATAGGTTGCCAACCACTGCTCTAGATCAAGCCCTGTTGAAAACTCTGACATCAAATACATTATACGCCATGTTGAATGGTACTTTGATCTGTACTTGTGCACAGAGGGTTAAAACAGATAATTATGGACAACCCAGTATATTAAAAGACAGTCAAACATGTCAGACAAGTTAATTTGAATACTTGTTACTTATCACCTTAACACACTCACATACCTGCTCTTGAATCTTAATTCAACAACCAAGATATGTTTAATAGAAGTTGGTATATGTTAGCCACCCAACAAATGACCTTAGCACAGGAATTAGAGAATCAATAAAAAAAATTCAATACATTATCTAAATTTGCTAAATATTCATAGGCTTCAATAACAAAAAAAAAAAATGTAAAAGGAGTCCTTGTACATTTTGCTTTTGTTAATATAACATATTATTCAGAGTACAAATCTATATTAGTTACATTTTAAATTTATTGCCTTAATTTCAGCCTTTTAAATAACAATGAACCTTCCATTTGAAACTTAAAAATGTTTGATATAACTGAAAAACCAAAAGATAAGATGCTAAAGAAATTCCTATATATAAGATACTTTGTGTAAGTCATTCTATACATATTACTTTATTTACAGATTCTAAAATATAAGTTAAAATTTATAAGCACATAAGTGAATAGCCCATAGTTAAAAGAAACCTTAGTAAAATATAAATGAGTTTACTTGCTTCAGGGTTGTGTTGGTATAGTTCATCACTGTAAAATGTTTTTCGTAATCATCAAAATTATCCAGGGAAAAGGGCCTAAACCACAAAATGAAGTTCATAATACTCTTTCATCACCATAAATATACCTTGTTTTGAAAAATATTTTAACAATCTAAAAATATCAATTTTATCATAAACCTTTCAGGTAAAAAATTTGAATTTTTCAGTTATGAACTCTAAAAATATTAATATTTCAGCTACTTAGGAAACACTAATAACAAATCTATTAATAGAAACTCCGCTTCTTTATGTGACAAGCAGAATCAGAGTATCACCACTGCTATACAATTATGGAAGATAATGTTTTAAAAGCATTCAAAAATATGACAATTAATAACAATGAAATGTTAGAATATTTCACTTTATATCCAAAACTAAAAAAAACATCACCAGTAGTTTACACTACTAAAACAGAATGCTTAGATTTTACACAATGTTTATGGTGAGTGACAGAAGTACATCCTGGTATTAATCTACAAGGATAATTGATAAAGGTTGAAATATTAATAATCATATTATTTGTAATTTTCACTTTTATACTGTAGTGTCAAACTTCTGAAGGTAATTATTATGCAAAGATAACAACAGTTAACTATCATTTCTCAGCATTTAGTACAAAGATTTAAAATCCACACACCAAAGATACTTTTGTAAACAAACATTAGAGATTTGAACTTCTGAATAAGTGTAGTTATGCCTGAAATTTTTTTTTATCAAAATCAACTCTTACTCATGTTTAAATTTAAAAAATAGTTATATTATCAAACCATGAGAATATTTGTCATTTTCAATTATTTTTTCTGCCCCAGGTATAATTAAAACTTCATAACAAACATATATTGATGCAATAAATATTAGAAACAGCTTGTTAACTTAAGCTATTTATTTAAAAAAAATAAAAACCAATGAAATTTAGTATTTCACTTACTTGTTTGCAAACCTCAACCAAAAATGTTTGTAGACATATAGTCTTAAAGGATGAGCACTTTGCAAAAGAATAAGATACCTAAAATCAAACTTCACCATGCCAATTTCATCTCTCGGAAAGAGCACAGGATTGGATATATACTTGCAAGCTATCTAATGTAAGAATACATCAGGAAATCAGTTTTTGCAGCTTGACTTTAACAGTATGGATAAGCAACTAATATTACACTTATAAGCTTAAAACATGACTACTTTTAATAAAACCTTTATATAACTTTCTTCTTTTTTAGAAAGAATTACATCTACTTTTTGAGAAAAAAAGTAAGTTCCTTTCTAATAAGATGTGATCTCTATTAATTCTTTATGTCAATACACATATTTCAAAAAAAAAACAATAAATACATAAACTTTAATATATGAAAACTTATTAAACTTTACTTGTGTGGGGATTTCTTTGTAATAAAATGAGCCTTATAAATCTCCTACTACCTTAATTGGAATAAATTTGAACTAAGAGTGAAATCTAAAAATGTTTATAGTCATTAAACACTACAAACAATAGTACTTAAAATATCTTAAGATAGAAATGACACTGAGTAAAATCCTTAAACAAGTAATCCCATGATAAAAATATGCATTAAAGATGTCTCCATGTATAAATTTCATCATGGATGTTATTAAAATTAACTATCACAAATTATACAAAAAAATATATTAGGAGAGATCTGATAATTTAAGAAGTGACAGGATAAAAAATAATAATAATTTAAAACTAATACTCTTCAAGTTGTATCAAGAGGACAAGAGACAGTAGTTTGTTTTCAAAAATTCCTTTCTCTCTCATACTGGTCTAAAAATGGCAAGACATTCATTACGTTATACTTCAATATTATCTGAAAGTAGCTTTTCATTCTCCTACTCCAGATTATTCAGACATTCCAACAAAAGTCACGCTACAATTGGAATGATATAAAAGAACAGTCTTTTGCCATCAGAAAATGAAAGGATGTACATTACTGTAGTACTCCTTTTAGATTACGAGACAGTAACAAAGAAACCAGGAATTGGAATTTTCATTCAGAACAGCACCTTACTTACATGTGGACTAACTGGCCAATTCAGTGAGCCCTGAGAATCAGATATATACAACCACCATTTTGAATTACTGACCAGAGGGAAATGCAGCCAGCCAGCAACACCCACCACAAAGCTTTGTCTAGAAAAATTGTGATAGTTATAGGACACTGTCTGCTTTTTTGCATGTTATTATTCTATGTTATTTGGTGCATTATTAATTAAATAACATTTTTTAGTGCACTACTACCATTAGTACCACTACCTAAAACTACCATTGATTGGTAACATTTCAACAAAATTTGAAAAACAATTGAAAACGGCCATTACTAAATGTTTTCCTGCAGTGAACCCCTACTGTGCTTATTCCACACATAAGCTGTTGCCCGCAACACACAAAGATGTGATACCTACCACACAGAAAAGTATGGTTATTTATGAATTCTCATGCTACTGCAAATGTCGGTACATAGGTCGCACTTCACAAAGACTGCAGGATAGAATTAAACAACATGTACCCACATTCATAAGAAATAAGAGTGTGAAAGAAAATAATTTACCATGTCACTCCTGTAAAACAAAAGTTCTACCACCAAAATGTGAATCATTGATTGGCCAGCATTTACTAGTGAACCTGACTTGTGCTGACAAATACATGGATAGTAGGTTTAAAATTATTGCAAATGGTCTGTCAACCTTTCACCTAATCCTGTCCTTTGCCGCCAAAAATAATTCCTATACAATTTACATATCCTTCAGTAGGTCTGTGACATTTCCTGATTGGCTTAAGGACCTGCCAATCAGTGATTGCCTTACTGGCCTACGTTGATCTGACTCGTTTTATAAGCTGTACTATTTCCTATAGATCATTTTCCAGACAGTTCTGCTATGATTAGTGTCTGGCGAAAAGCTTCAGCAGATATTTCCTTTGCAACATCTCAACCAACAACTGGTCCAGTTATCAACGCTATTTTCAAGTTCTGAACAACTCGACTTTCAAGATCTACATATCTACATGTGCCAATGTTTCTGTTTATCAATGTTATATTTTAACATCTGTGCAAGAACTCAGCTATTAGATGTTTCCACATATAAAAGCTATCTTCCAGTTTTGTACACCAAAAAACTTTTCAAATAAAATTTATGTATAATTACAAGTTTAAAGCTACTTAGGATAAACGAATGTAGTTTCATGTTATAATTTGAAGTCATTCTAGAAAGAAAAAAAAGGGTAATTTAGATTTATATCAATTTTTTTTGGTGGTTACAAGGTTGGTATAGTTAGGATAGAGAAAATAACATATAAAATATAAACTTTTACTGCAAGTAACGTTTGAAACTTATTTAGGAGGTTTTACAGATTATGTAAAAAAAATTGAGATTTGTAAGATGAAGAAAAGTATTTTTAATCTTAATGTGGAAATAACTTTGCACTCAGAATAGCAAAAAAAAAGAGACTATATATATATATATATATATACACACAAACACACACACATCCATCCATGGACAAATCTTTAGTAAACATACTTCATGGAAAAAACCTGATTTTTTGTGTACAAAAGACTTGTAATGTTTACTAGAAATCTGACAAATTTTGTGAAGATACATATAATGTATTAAAATTTATAGTATGGAAACTATAAAAGAGTATAAAGTAGTGGTTACAAGGTTGGTCAATTTGACCGAGCCCATAGTGAATGAGTTAATGTAATATCACCACCAGAAGGCAATATATTAAATCAATAAATGTATAACCATTATTTACAATAAACACAATAGTCAGTATTCAAAATTCTTTTTTTCCACTGAATGACGAAGATAAACATTATTACTTCTGTTCATCTAACCTTTGGTCCTGATGAAGGGAGTCTGAGAATGAAGTTCAAATCTGATGTAACATGAGTGTCTAAGCTACGAGCTAAATTCCAAGGTTTGCAAATCCAATGATTGTCAAGTTTCCTGTACAAATTTAATTGATAAAAATTATTTATATTTAACGACAAAAGTCTTAAAACCAGCTAAAAAACTTAATTAAGTTAACCATTGAATTTACTACAACATTATTTGTTTTTATTAAATCCACATAAGAGTTTACTAGTCAAAGAAAGCATTTCTGGGGAAAAAATAAATTTGACTTAAATATCTAATGTTTAGAAATACATGGAATTTTAAAGATTCTAAGTTAATGCTAAGCCCACCATAATAATTGGTGAGATATATCCAAACATCAAGTTTAATTAGTTTAATATTGCATTAAGAAAGCTTCTTGATACAAATGGCTTTCTGCTTATTTTCAAGTGGCATAAAAACACATTACAACATAGTCTAATGTAAAATGTACAATTCATACTGTCAGATACAAGGGTATAGTCGCATATTTCTTATAATCATTTGATAATCTAGATAAGAACTTGTACAATTTTAGGTTTAATTTTACAAGTATAATAAGTATATATGAACACTACTACTGATAAAGGTAAGGGCTTCTTAATGAAGCAAGTTATTTTGTATCATCATAGTATAATTATCTTATTCCAATTCCTTAAGCATTGAATTTTTGCTTGAAATAATATAAGCTGGAATTATGCTAAAGCTTAAGAATTCAGCTACCTGTCGTACATTTTTAGTACCGAGGTAAAAAACATTTGGTAAAATCTTGTGTTTAAAAAATTCTCAATTTTAAAACTTTTAAACAATAATGTTAAACTTACAAGAAAAATATTTGGACACTTATATATAATAAAAAAAAAAAAGTTACTAATCGATAAAACTAAAAGAATCTACTTGAAAAATGAAAATAAGTTTAAAGAACTACAATGCCAGAATTTAACTATTTTTACCTGAAGTGGTACAGAAATAACGTACAGCTACCTTGAACTGACAGATAAAAAAGAAAAGAATACTGAAACTACAAAAACTCAACGAAAAAATGTAAGAACTGCATTGCAATGTTTCTATTATTTGGTAGCTTTTGAGAATTTATTACATTACCAAATTATTTATATTAGCAATTAATTACATTTAACTGGAGACATGGTGTACATCATATCTATCATACCACTAATTAACATTATAAACATTAGTTCAGAGCAGTTTTAGTATTAATCTTTAAACTGTGGAACATCTTAATTTTAGTCAAATATACAATTATTTGATGGGTAGACTGGAAAGAAAATAATAACTATAAAACTTCAATATGGTTAGAATTAATTCAGGGATGATTGATGAGGATATTTATAGGTTCAAGAACTGAGTTACATTTGAGTATTTTGGGCTTTTCTTTGACTTTAAAATAAAGCAAGCTACACTTATAGAGCTTTCTAACTTATAGGTAAGTTAAAGATAATTTTGGAGAAGATTGTACTATTACAGGGATAAAATGGCACATTAGGAGCAGAAATCAAGGATGCAAGCAAGACAAAAACAAGACAGAGTTAGGGTAAAGGTTGTTTTGGTGAACGGTGAGAATGAATGCCAGGTTTGCACAACAGGCAAGTTAAGTCAGCATTTAGGTACCACTATCTAAGTATTTGAACCTTTGGTTGTTTACATTAAGGAATAAGATGATCAAGAGGTTTACAGAGTGAGAACTCTCACAATAAATTCACTGATAAACTTGTTTGTAGGGTAGAGCTTAGAAAGACTAGAACTAAGATTTACTTGGAAGATGCTAAGGAACAGGATATTATAGGGCATGTAAACAGTTTAGTTTAGTTGTTGATATCAAGGAATGTTCTATTTTTTATAGTTCGTATAGAAGTAAATGATGTTGGAAAATGTAAACCAGATGACCCACTTTAAAAGTTTATAGAACTTCAAAGGAGTGTGGTCGTTTCGGGAGGGCTCCTTCAGGCTAGGTGAGGGAATGAATTACTCAGTATGATCCAACACTTTAAATGAAAGATTATCAGGGAAATGCTTATAGCAACAAATGGTTGGTTGTAATTGTGAGACAGCTTTAACCCTTTCGAGACGGATCACGAGTGAAAGGCTATGACATCTTGTTTGTTGACTTGTATTCAAAATTTTATTGAACTACTATTTCATGAATTTATGTCAATAACTTTGGTATCAAACTGTAGATTAATATTTAAATTTTAGTATTATATATTACTCAAATTCTTAATTTAAAAGCTAATATTAAAAAAAACACAGATAAACATCGATTTTTGTGTGTCACGTGGTATGTTGAATGCAGCACTGGTTCAAATTAGATGTTTGTGAAGTCAAAATACTAAGTCTAGAGTTTCGTACGATTTAGAAACTCAAATTACCGATATTGACAAGCTAGAATATATATACTTTTATATATGACACAAATAACCAATCAGAAGCTCAGAATATCCCCCTAGTGATTTTCTCAGCCATTTTAACAAGCTTGGCACTATTTCTCTCTTTTGAACCAATATTTCAACGAGGTAGGGTGTCTTTAGTCTGCTCGAAATTTCATATTTCTTAAAGAGTAAAATATATCCTAATTACTAAACTTGATAAATGATAGTAAAATTCTATGGTATTAATGTAGTAGTTTATGATTTTTTAGTTATTCAAATGTATATATAAAACCTAAAAAGAAATATTTGTTTCATATCCTCCACGTGCAAAATTTTTAAAGGCTTGGCAACCTACACAAAGTACAAAGGTCATAACTAGAAGAGATAATTGTTTGCTTTACTTGTTTGGTTACTGTTCTATGTTTTAAGAAAAATAAGTTTATATAATGTATAATAATTGAAATGTGACTAGTCCACTAAAACACAGCCAAGACAAATTACTTTGTAAAGACCAAACGTCAGTTTTATGTTATCTGATATGGTAACATGAGTGCACGTGAGCCACATCATTGTAACTTCTGTATTG